GGGCCCCGGCCTTCGGAATTGAACGTAAGGGAACGAAGATTACTTGGCCCCTTTTGTGTCCGAGTGATCAGGAACAGCGTTCGTGTTCCGAGGCAACACGGCTACGGAAATTCATTCCTCTCTCCCCTGTGTATCGGTCCTCTCGTGTTCCGACCGTGGAGTTATTCGAGCTACCTCCCGTCGACCGTAGAAATTGTCCACGTCCTATCACGTGGATTTTTTAACCGCGTCCGTACACCACTTCCGACTCTCGCATTTCCGGGGAATAACCAACAGCCACCGCGCACGGTCGGGTGGTATTCGCGAAATTATGCAATAAGGTCTCATCGGCGGTAGCCTCGGGATTTGCTCGTCGAATGGTGTTACTCCACATGTGTATACGCGTTGAAAACACCACCACTGACCCCCCCGCGTCGCTCCAAATGGGCTCGTTCTCGAATTTCGAAACGCGGCCACCGAAAATGGCCCGATTCTCAATTCCGGATTTTCCCTCGCCTTTTTTTTTCTCCACCCCTTCGCACCCCTCATCTGTGCCGTTCGCCGCGGCGTAATCTCTTTTTTCACGATAGTCTCTATCGGAAACGCATAGTCATCGCGCGGGGGTACGGACGGGCACGCGAAACACTGTAACTCCTGCTTGCTGATAATTAGCGCATCCATCAGCCGCAGCAAGCCGCCAGCTAATGCCGATCGTACGTTATCGTTATCACGGTCTCCCCATTTTGTCCCACCGCCTCTGCCTCCCCCTTCCTCCTCCCACCCCTCCCCCCATACCCGTCTATATTTGCGCGCGTGGTGGTCCGTGCGCGACCCACAACCACCATCGTCGAGCCAGCATCCCCCTGACCACCACCCCCTCGATCCACCATCCTCCCGACTTGTCCGCCACCCTATATCGGCAGCGAACGCACGAGCTGTCGATACGACCAATAATCTAATAACCAATCACCGGCAATGTGTCGTAAGTCACACCCTGGGTCTGCAGATTTTCACCGGTGGCGTCGGCGGTCACTCCGCCGGGAACCAATAACCGGTCATACCCTCCCCCCTTTTTGAATTATCAATTCATCGGTCCGAAGGCCACTACGATTCTCGACGAGACGAGACGAAAGAAGAACGAGCCGTGCCACCGGCGAACAGACGACCATGGTTAGGAATATGAGATTTCGTTACTGATTTACAACCCAGACGGATACGATCGAGATCGTCCCGGAAACGTCGTGTACCCAGGTCGTATCGGTTCGATTGAAGAGGGAGACAGGAAAAGAAAGCAAAAAAGAGTTTAAAATCGAACTGGTTCGAGGTATTCCAGGGATAGAAACCGTAGGGATACAGCCGCGTAGTAGGACGTCTCTTTGGGCGGAATGTTAGGGGGCGCAAGTGAGTGAGCCATCGACTCCGAGCAGGTGGACCGTGAATCCGATCAGTGGTTTCTTTCGTCTTCTCCCGTCGATGTATCCCATCCCCTCGATAAAAAGTGTACAGAATCCCCCCGATCGATGATCTTTCGTGTTTTGTTTTTCCCTAAAATGTAAGTGAACAGAATCCTCCACGCGATCATGGCCTTTCTTGTTTTTCCTTTAAAAAGTCCTAGAACCCCTCTCGATCGAATTACGACGAGTTACAGGATCGTGATAGCGCTCTGGTTGCCGGTGCATGCGCGCATCTCACGGCCGCGGGCCGCCAAATGATCCAGAACACCGGTGGGAATTGGTTCAGCGTTCGAAAGGGAGGTGCGGGTACAGGAGGGTACTGGTAGCAGCGGCAGCGTTATAACTAACCGAACTGATCTACGACCTGTTTAGTAGTTCTATATCAGCGTTGCACCATGCTTCGGTACACGCAATCGAATTGCCTCCTCTGCCGATAATATCTGACTTAAGTAGGTAACCATCGCGGGCGCGCGCGTTTGACCGCGTGTGCGCGCACGATCACCCACAGACACATAAATAGAACAACTGAGGGGGGATTGGTCGGCGTGTGTGCACGTGCGCAAATAACTAGAATATGGATGACAGACCGCGCCGCGCCGACCAGGAAAGAAGTTGTTCGTAGATGCTAGATTACCCAGGCCCACTGAGTGTACAGTTGTACCTCGCGATACGTGTAAACGGCTCTTTCTCGCTGCTTCTCTTTCTGCTAGCTCTTGGCTACCTAACTCCCCAGCCGCGCGCGCGCGCGCGCATTATACTTTCAATAGGTTGCTTTACGATCGTGACTAACTAGCCCGGTTACACGATAAACGAGTTAATGATTGATGTAACCAGAAGCACCGTAATTCGAGCCACCCTGAGGCTGAAATTGATTATAGTACTGTTCTGTGTTATTGCGACGAGTTTACCAGCGGCGGCGCGTCGCGGGGCGAGCGCTCGCATATAATTGCCCGGTTACCGGCTCGGCGAGTCGGTTCGACAATTGAAATCTCCCATTCCGAGCAATTTAGTTAATCCTTTTCGCTGATGATCGCGTGCATTAACCAACGTCCCCGGCAAATTAGGAGCGCGCGATCGATCAATCGCGTGTGCACGCGCGCACGCTGGGTGTTCTCTTTCTCTCTCTCTCTCTCTCTCTCTCTCTCTCTCTCTCTCTCTCTCTCTCTCTCTCTGCGTTGCCCTGCCGCACGCTGTGGACATGAATCCTGCATGGAGGATTGTCTACTAGCCGGGTTCTAACGATTCTTCTGGTGGACTGGTTTAATCCAAACCGGTACCCATTTGTCTCTGCGACGGTTTTTATGGTTTTAAGAACAATGATTTATCGTTTGCTCGTTCACTGGTAACGTTTCGTCGATCGAATTCCTGAATCTTCGACGTGTATGCAATGCTTCCGACACGTCGTCGCCATTGCAGGCCAGATCCACGAGAGAGGACTAGGACGTATATTCGAATTGTCGTTTACTCATGTTTGATCGCGTCAGTTGGTCAACCGATCAATATACCACGGGTTGGTAATTATCTATTCATGATGTGAGCAAATGACAAGCTAAGTAGATACCCGGCCCGAAAGACGAAGCACCGGATTACACCGAAATGGACTACGGTTTAACGGGTTCCGAAGATAATGATCAAGCGTAAGGAACGTTTTCTTAAACGAATGCCCGCCACTTGAATGCTTATCGTTTTAATTCTCGCAATATCCATAACTTTTAATGCGCAGTATTAACCGCGAGATCTCATATCCTGAAAGCCAGAAAACGTCTCGTGTCACGCGACAGGAAAATTGGTACGATTCACATGCGCTTATACGGGCCTCTTTATTCCCATCATTAGCATACGGTTCGTCCTTTTATAGCGAATCGCGCTATTGCTGAAAATAATGGCACAAGATTGGCTCGATTTCCGGGGGATTGGAAATTCGTATTTACTAGATTTAGAAGTCACCGATTGCACACGGTGCTTGCAATGGTTGTTGCCGTTTATAGACGTGAAACGGGTAGGTACGAGTTCCTAGTTCTCTAAAATCGTCGGATAGGTACTAAAAGAAAGCGAAGTTAAATGTCACTGGTACATATTACACAATCGTTCTCGTTCTCATTATAGATTATATTATTATGCAATTCTTCATGCAACGAAAAAAGACACTAAAACGATATAAGATTCATGCCAAAGTTTATTTTTTATTTTCACACATCATGGACCATGGTCAAGTTTCTTTAACACTAAAATTACCTCCGATAAACGCATATCTATTTCGATCGGTCGATAAACCTGACAAGTTTTACTCATTAATATATAAATTAACTAATTTCTTCACATCCATATCATAATAAAACTTGCAAAAGATCTGACAGAATCTAGGTATATAAATATCATTTTATTAATGCCTTCGTTTTACTGCATCATACATGTTAAAATGTGTTGTAACATAACATCGTTATAAGAATGTCAGTTCGACTTGCTTGGTAGTTCTAGTGTTAATGTAACATCCAACGCGACAAAGATTGCTTTTCATCTCCGTCACAAAAAATTGTTCGCCACCCACGCGCAAATAACACGACAGTTAAAAAGTTAACGAAAACACACAAATCAAGAAACACCGGGGGAAAATAACCGGGAGGGAATATTTTCTGCTCGCCACGGGGGTAGGTTGACACGAGGTAAATCCGTACACGCCCGGGGAGCGTCATTCTCGCTTCACGAGAGATCGAATGTATAATGAGGGAAGGAGATTAAACGCCGAGGCGTCGTTGAAACACCGAACGCATTTGTCGATGTCTAATAGAATATTAACGAACACAATCCCGGGTACGCGTACGGATGTCGGTGCAGCGCGGGAAATGCATTCAGTAGCCCATCGATCGACGTTTCATCACGCGCACGGAATTGCCGGCGAAATGAAAAACAAGGTGGGGGTTGGGGTTTGGAGGAGGGCATTGAAACACGGTGGAAAAGGTGAGGAGAAGGGGGTGGAGCAAAGGGGTACCGGGGATATCGTTAATTGTTTAATCCCGTCCGATTGTCCGGGGATATTTTTAAATATGAATCCTCGATCTAGAAATTGAACTATCCCTCCCCCCGATAGAAAATTGTGTTGTCCGATCGCGAAATATCGCCGGGATCGGCGAATGACTAAGTACGATTTACGGCTTCATTTATGACGGCCTGTGCCCCCGAGTTATTCTCATTGGCTCGGTTTTAAAATGTTCCGATCGATCGCCACCCGACCCCCCTTCCCTGGGGGCCATTATACACGGCCTGGGAGGGGGTGGGGGCTGCTTAAACATTTCCAGGATTTACGGTGTTTTGCGCACTCGGTGATCAGTTTTCGTCGAATAATTCAAAAGCTGACGCCTCTTATTATATGTACGCGCGCCCCGCGTCTCCTCTTCTCTCCGTCATCCCCTCACCCCTACATTCCGCCTCCCTCGTTGTCGATCGCCGAAAGATTTATTCGGCTCGTTCCATTGGAACGTTGTTTCCCCTTCCTTTTTCTCTGCCTTTCCCACACGAGAGTTGGAATTAAAAAAAGGAAAGCTTCATGTAGACTTTTCTCTGTCGCAGGTAAGGAAGATATTGCTAAGCCGCATTGGACATGGTTGCAAGGTGAGTTGTGCTTTCTTAAAACTTGATTAAGAACGCTGCGTTGAACACGAGCTTTCGCAGGGCCGATACGCTGGGATGATGTCAACGCGATGATTATCTTTAACGCGCTCGCTGTTATCCGTTTTGGAAATCGATCGGAAGAAATTAGTAAATATCCATCCTATTGATTAAAATATCTAGTCTAAATAAATTATAGATTTTATTAAATTCAGAATAAAATAAATATGTTTTCTGTTTTATTGTTCTCGGACATTCGAATAAACTGTTAATTGTGATAACGCATCTTTATTGGATAGTTTAATGCACAATTAGGTGCTCTTAGTAGTTGTACCAATAAGATATTTATTATTTCATTTCAACATATTGATAACGTCCATGCAAATTCGAAACACTATTTCGTAATAATAGATTCGAAATCTATAACGCACTCGAATGATGTATTAAATTCTGTCTGTTAACATCACCGAGACATACAAAACTCATTTGGTTTCTTGCGATCACGCAAGTGTCGAGAATATAAAAATCAAAACGTCACGATTATCTAGGATCGTGCAGCGGGCGCGTTAATTGAATTCGGGTAACTAGGTGAACCGATTGAAATCATCCAGCGAATCGGTGGACACCAAGGACTCGAGTCAATGAAGCCCTCGGCCGCTCGTCGACAGCGAAACCCGAGGGTGTTCGAACAGAATTCCGAAGTTTCGTGCCGAATTCGGATCGTACGTGTGTCAGAGGTAGATTTATACGGGGCGAGGCGTGCTCGTTCGCTCGCGCAGATGCTACACACAGTGGTACCCCTCGGAGTTTCCTCGAATTCGGTTTCGTCCTGCGGCATTCTCCTCGGCCGACAACGGTAGGCGAGCTTCCAAGAATAAAGAGTCGTGGGGTGAATTTTCATCGTCGGAGCCTATCCCGCTCCGAAGGTTCCCTCTCCTCCTTCACCTCATCCCCTGGCCACCGGTGACGAACTCTTACGTCGAGGGGAGAAGGATCGCGAAGAACAGCTGCGAGCGTCTCTTGACGACTGGAGTAACCGTCTGTTTTTCTTTTTCTCACCAAAACAAAAAGAGAACCGAAAAAGGGGAAAGAAGAACAAGAAGAAGCAGGTTCACCGCGAGAGAACGCGTAGCGGGATCCCCGGTTTTGGAAGGGAAGCGAAAAGGATGATGGGGGAGGCAAGTGGAGGAAAAAGAGACAGAGTGAGAAGCATAGGAGGCGAGGGAGAAGCGAAGAGAATACAGAACGATGCCTTCGAGGGTGATCAATAAATATTGGCTCTCGGGGGTGAAATTGGGGTAGCCGAGTACGGGCACGGCAACGGTTGGAGGGGTGAGGAGAGGAAGGACAGTCGTGCTGCTGCGGTTGCCGCCCCTTTCCTATGGCACACGACGTATGGCAGATATAACCACTTGGTATAGGCAATGGAGAATCGCTCATGGACCGTAATTCCCTCAGACTTTCTGATCGATACTCACTTTAGGCCGTTCCGGCTGCGAAAAACGCGGAAAGGGTCGCGCGGGGCCGCGGATTTACGGCGGGCTAGAACAGGCAGAGGACCAACCGGCCGAGCCCGCTTGGCACCGTAAAAAATTCGATAGAGCCCCGCGACAGTTTCGCGCATCCACCATACGCCATAAGTCGAATCCTATATGGAAATTCTCCGTAGGGATAGATGTTGCGTAGATATCAGGACAACGGTTACTCGGCCTTCGATTCAATGGGAGAGAGGGACCTTTATTCCCTCGATTGGTCTCTCGTCCCCAACATGGGATTTGGTTCCGCTTGTTTCAGCTTGTAACGCGGCGAAAATGATTACCCGATACTCCGACAGAGACGTATCAGACCCCCGTTAATTACCGGTTGATTCGATGCTGGATCGAGGTTTTAAGAACCACCCTCGATCGTTCGGTAACAAAACGACAAAGGATTAAATGGCTGACGGGGGTGGATAGATGGTTCCGGGGGAGGGTTATTCGAGTCGATGGGCTGCATGATGGAACCAGCTCGGTCCCTAGCTTATCCATCCGCGGATCCTTTCGACTTTTTCTCGGCAGATGATATCCATTAGGCAGGACAGACGTTATACTTGGGGGTTGCTAAATATCACAGAGAAGAATATTTATATCTTTAGTCGAAATCAGTAAAACAGGTATGAAGGTTGTATTCATTTTTGGGTTCTCTTCACTAGTTTGCTAGTTATTTCTATTATATGCGAATTTAGTTATTACAGAATATCTGTAGATTCAATCGGTGAACTGGAAACCGTATAAAAGAGCTCGAGGAATCAAATGGTTCAGCCCCATAAAAATCATTCAGATACGCTCGGGGATAAGAAAAAACGACGGAAGGAATCTCTGTTTCCGTCGGGGTTAACAGGATTTGAAGGGTTCTCGAAGGCGGTTGTAAGAACAGCTTCGGATTAATTCGCAACGGCGAGAGAAATTTCCTCCCGCCCGCTCGATCCCTCTACCAATTGTCTCCGCCATCTTCCGCTCTCCGCTAAATAGAAATCCCCGTACCTTGTCCGTGGAGAGGTTTCCGTGAATTCGGTTAGAATTCGGATGAGGAAACTGGATGCTTCCCCAGGCGTGAAATGGCTGCGTTAACCGCTTGCACGAGCTGAAACCCCCGTGCAAGGAAAGGGGGCGGACGCTCTGCTCTCTCTGTCTCTCCTCCTTCTCCGCCCGGCGCATCCTATCTCCGCCAGGAGACGACGCTTCTTTCTCTCTCTCTTATTCCATTCTTTTCAAGGCTTCCGGCCAGAGACAACGTTGTTTAGTAATACTATGCTTCAGACTACACCGGGGGTTGGGTCATAATGGAATTTATGCGTTTCGGACTTTTCCGTTATTCTTTAGTACCACTCCTCCGCGATAGTTGCGTTAATCACACCGATCGTATCAGAACTCCTTTCACATTTGTATTAAGTTGAGAATGATACCATCGATCCTGTTTCTTCAGCGTATAATCAGATCATTCACAACTTCCCGTTAAACAAAGCAAAAGCTAACCTTATCTCCTTTTATAATGCGGTGAATAAGAATTGATACAGTAAGCTTTTCCTCAGACCCGGTACGACGTTCTTCAAAGTACACTTTATCGCTTTCCATACATTGGATTACCCCGTTATTGACTTTCTTTTTCCATGATCACGTGTACCGAAGGCGTGTCCCAGGATAAACGACCGCGAACTTTATGCACCCTCCCTAAAAAAAAAAAAAACGAGCAATCTTTCTCCCTGTCCTCCGAGCCGCCCCCTCTTTGTTTTTCGGTGGGGGTTGGGCTGGAGAGAGTTTCGCGCGGTTCGAACACGCGGATAAGCAATATCAGCGTCCAGATCTCACCGAGAAGGTATAAGACGAGAGTTATGCGGCCCGCTATGCGCGAGGGAATCGTAGATCAGCGGCCGGGGACGTCTGCAGGGACGTGGAAGCGAACGTGAAACGAACGGAGAACCACCACCGCCATCATCCCGTACAACCCCCTTTCGTTCTTCCACGATCCCACCATTCTTCCAAACCAACCCCCGACAGCCCCCCTCCCTACCCCCTCATGCTTTCTCTCTCGCTCTCTGTGCCTGTCTCTCCCTACGGGTCTACGGTAGTCTTTCTCCCGACGTTCGTATCTTGCTATCTTCGAGACCCAGCCGCACGGGTCCTCGATGGCTACGTGTGTTTGTCTTTGCTGGTTTGTACAGGCTGTCTCATAACGCGGGGTAACATTCGCCACTCGGATATGATCCCTGTGTAGTCGACACGTGGAGGAAGTCCCTTTAGGGATTTGTGAAAATGGTTTTATCGAAAGTTTTCCGGCTGTTGCAGTGAGTTTGGCAAATTCCTGTCTCTTTTTATTTTGTAGAAAATTTTGTCAGAAATAAAATATTCTAACATTGGTACACACTATAGATTATTAATATAAAAGTTTTGGAAAAATGCCAATAAAACCCAATTTTGTCTCGGGAGCCGCGTAGAGTATCTTTAGAAGCCACAGTTTGCCTATATTATAGACAATCCTGTTTTTCATCTTGATGTTATAGCTGATATAAGGATGAATCAAAATTCATATTCCTATTTTCTAATAATGAAAAAAAGATCACTGTACATGTTACAGTAAGAAGTAGTATCTTAACCTTTTATCACTCCAACCGGCAGTAATACTGTCAACCGCAAACCAATGTTCCATACATGCTATAATATTCTTGGAGTGACGGGTGTTAACAATAAAAAACTTATCTTATTTTCTTCTCAAGATACTGGCATCTTTCAAAATAATTCTCTTTAAAGGACAAACTCACCCAGCCTTGCAGCTACTGATCAAAGACAAAAATATAATTCTTCCCATCCATTCCACGTTTAATGTCTCACCTCCAGACGTGCTCGAGATTATGAATCACCCTGTACATACAGACGGCCGATAGTACGTATGTACACTTGTACCGTGTGTCGTGTGTCCGCGATAGGCCGGTGTATATCATCGATACGTATACCTACGTAAAATGCCAAAGCAAGCGCATAAGGCGCCGCGGGGTAGAGGGTTCTAAGCACGAATGTACACACAATACTGGGTGTGGCATCCAGGCCGAACTATTATTTCACCCAACGGAGGTATATTATGGCCCCGTGAGACGTGCTTGAGGGGGAGGGGGGACTCTCATCGACACACACACACGTGCGTGTGATTCTTTTCCGGCTCCAGGATAATTGCTCGCGGAATGTCACGAGCCCCCTTTCTGAATCCCCTGACACTTGGATTCTTTCAACCGAACGCGAAATGTCGTCAGGTCAGTTTTATTCCGTTCGTGGCTCCGTAGAAGCAGCGTGTACCGGGTACGCGATTTCGTATTTCGTGAGAGTGGAGACTCGTTTATCCGGAATAGTTAATAAGCTTAGGTAATTGGCCACGGATAAGGGACGACGGCGGTGGTTCCCGTTGTAACGAGAATTAAGAGCAGCGAATGAGCTGGTTCCGTCTCGTGGTAGTGGTGGGTTCTATCCTATTTT